TTGTCATAGTGATACCATCACTATCACTAGATGCTTTGTTACCACATTTATCCACTATCTCTATAATTTCCTTTTCAACTATGGGCTTCAAAAACATAAAACTCATGTTCCTTTCGATTGTATTAATATTTATAGTGACGGATGTATCATCTGTACAAATGCTTCTTGCTAAACCAGGACCAACATTCACAAAGAACCTATTAAACTTCTCAACTACATCCTCAAATCTATTGACCGGTGTATCATTATCCATAAATTATTGAGGGTAGTTACTCTAGCACAGTACTGTTTCTAATCAATTTATTTAAGCCAGCGTGTCTACCACATGTGATGTGTTGTGGGTTAACAAGAGGATTTTAATGACCCATGATGTTATTATCGGTGCTACGCTATCTGTTGGAATTAATTTTTCTACTTTGGGAAACTATGTGGTCCTGTGGGGGGAAGAGGCAGTGATCACCGGTTGGATTTACCAACCTTGGAGCTACTTGAAAGTGAATGGTGTTTCCACTACCCAGTGTGACAAATAAAACAAACAAACAAAACAAACAAAGAACATGTTGCATGGTTGTTAATTGTCATATACTTTCATGAATATATTTAAAAATTGCTCATATGCTTTGTCTAAGTCTTCCTCTTTGTAAACTGCTTCCCAGTCTTGCCCCATAAAGTCATCTTTTAGCCTCCTTACAGCATGTTTGTTCATCACCCTCCTATAAAAAAAGATTTGTTTTTGGCCTTTCATTTCTAACATGGCAGTCATAACCAAAAAATACAGGCAGATGATCACTAATATCATTTATAAGTAATCCACTAGACATTTTGCTATCAATATTATTAGTAAATATATTATCTATTAGTGTTGCATGCTGGGTTGTTAATCTACTTGGTTTTGTCATTTTTGGGTATAAACTGCATCTATATAATGTGTTAATAAACTCCTCAGTTCCTGTGTGCTTGTTAGGATTTAACAAATTTATATTGAAGTAAATAATTTCCTTCAAACCAGCAAGTGTTACTAAGACCTTAAGAAAGACTCAATAATAGATTTATGACCACAACCCAGTCCTGATCTCCTCCTAGTTTCTGTGGTGCAACTAGAAACAGTTTAGTTAAGTAAAAAATTTAGTTAGTTAATCAGTGGTAAGTTCACTGGAAACACAGTGGTAAGAAAAATAAAGCGAAACTGTTAAACTGAGGGGACAAAAATAGGATTTTAAGAAGGGAAAGAACGTACCCCCCCGACAACCCCAGTGTAAATTACGCCCTTACAGCCCTCACACTCCCTTTTCTCGAGAGATACACTCTCATTAGTAACAAAAGGCTCAGTGAAACTCACAACAGCTGCTATTAGTTTGTGACTGGTAGAAACATTATATTAAGCAGGTAGAGCTCTGGTGGGTGTTGAATCACGTTACCAACCTAAACACTGTGTGACTTCCAGGATCCATCCTCCAGAGAACAACTATGAGACACTATAGTGACGGTCAAGAACACTCTTCGTTCTCCTGTGGCTGCAAAGCCGGTTGCACACTCAACTGGGTAATATGACAAACTTCAGTCTTAGTTTGTTTGGCTGAGCCTACAATAAACCCAAGCAACTAACCTTTTATTGGATAAGATGTGGTTTCAGTAGGAATTATAATTTATGAAAGACGAAACAACTTTCATGAGAAACAACAATTAAGGTTTAAATTGTGGCAGGTTTTATTAGAGAAAATTGCACGTATTACACACGATCTACTTAAACTATAGAATAACTGGCTGGTGTGAAATGACAGATTTCATTTGAATATTGCTTTCTTTAGAGTTCCTCGCTATTTACTTGTGAATACAGTCTACAGACTAACTGGGATGATAAGTAATTATTAGTGATTAAATAAATAATCTGTAATCCTAAAAGGAAAGCCACTACCAAGAATAATTAGATCACTTTATTAAAGTTAACACTTTCACATTAATTAGAAGGCATTTTATAATAAATAAAAACTAGCTATTAGTTACTGTTGTGAGCCACTGGCTCTTTCTTATGCTGATATTTGAATCATCTCTGGACGTTCATCTAAGAAACTGTTAAATCTACTAAATATCATATCTCTCATTTAATCTAGTCAGAATAAGCAAAATTCTTCTTTTCCCATTGGCAATTTTCAAGGTTTATTATGATATTTAATATAACTCTTGTGTTTTTTTAATATTCATTCTTTATTGATTGTAGTTGTCTGACCTTATGTAATATGCTGTTTGTGCTGAATTATGAATGTTCTTTGTTCTCAGCTCTCTGTTGAAAAAGATCACGAGCTCAATAAGATCAAATAAATAATTCAAATAAAGTTTCATTAATCAACTTTGTTTATGCCATGAAGTAGGTATGATGAGCAGATGAACACCGGTGCATCCGTGTGCCCTGTTTAAATAAAATGATCTTGTAATAGCATGGATGTGTGGTTCTATTCAATAATAATGCAGCTGTAGATGTTGGTACATGGGGTTTTAAACTTTCTAATGTTAGTATGACATTAATAAATGATCTTGGGGTGCTCACTTTGTAATGACCCAAAGCCAAATGTTATTCAGTAACTTGCATTTGTAAATATTATAGAAATCATGGGTTCCACAGTGCATCAGATCAGCAGTGGTAAATGTTAATAAGCAGCTTATAAATGGATTTAGGTCCAGATGTCCTGAGGCGTTTTTTCCAGAGGGAGGGCCAAAGAATCTTTCTAATGAAATAAACTCATTAAAAATACACACAAAGTGTTGTGCTGGAGGAGGATTTTCCACAACCTGGCAACCCAAAGGCTGTTCTTATTATTCGCTTATAATTTATCTACAAAGCATTATTAACTATTAATAAATCTATTAACTACAGCATCTAAAGCCTATAAATTGTGCCTATCACAGTGGTAGCAAAAGGTCTAATGTCCATTAGGTCAGATGACATACACAAGCCAGATCTGGTCAAAATAATCTGCCTACTGCTTCTTTTAACTACCCTTGTTTAATAATAACTTCAAAAAGAATTCATCTGAATTGGCTAGCGGATAACCTGCCCCACTGTTGTTAGCCTGAACATATTTAATGGAGAGCACTTGTGTTTTAAATTTACAATAACTGGATTTTATTATAGAGCAGGCTAGGCTAAATGATTGTGCTGGGATCAGGTGCATCTGCAGGAAATAGAGCAAACTAGCAGATTTCCCGTTGTCATGGAAATGAAGGTGATCCAGCCTAATAGCCTCATAATGCCGGCTCATTTTCTACCCTTATATGCACCAGTACGAGTCGTTTAGTAGCCTTATCTGTGCTGTAGTCCTGTGATGATGTGAGGCCTGCAGGCTCCCACAGCCTGGAACATTGTCTTCAACACCTTCCAATTTCTTTCATCTGACAGGCTACTTTTCTTTCATCATGTCACAGGAGAAACCCGGCTATTCTGTGATTAATATTCATATTCATATCCAGATGATTTATTGCACAGTACTGCTTATCCTCTTAATTAATCTCTGATTCGCCCTGCACTGTTATGTAACTATCCACCCCCTCCGTCCCTCATATAACATACGATTGCATTTAACAAGCTATCATCTCTACAAGGAACAGCGAAGGGAAAGGTGCATACCTTGTGCAGCTGATCAATGTTCACTCTCCGGGTCATTTTAAGCCGCTTTGGTCCCATGAAAATTCTCTGCTAAGGCTGTAGTTTCTGATTATCAAGTCGCTCTGCGAACATCGTCTGAAGATCAGCTACTAATTCCCCCTTTCCTCCATCGTCTCCACAGAAAAGGCATCGGCCGTCAGCCTCCACCCCTCAGCTGGGAGAGAGACATAGGTGAGCACTGAGAGAGAGAGACAGAGAGAGGAAGAGAAACACTGTGGAGAGAGAGAGGCGGAGAAATGGGTAGTGATAAGCAAGGCTCAATTACCTCCGAGCAAAGCGGCCAACTGCCACAGGTCTCCAGACTCTCGGGGGTCCCCCAAACCCCAGATCGAAGACATAGCCTACCATTTTTGTCTAGTGCACCACTAAAGCACAGGATCAACTACAGTATGTCATTTATTGTCCCTTGCCTTGTAGAGGGACTCAGAAGTTTTACATAGTCCCGGTGTTATACTGTGGTCGTTTTTGAAAAGCGGTTTATCAAACTGCTTCCTTAAAAAACACATAGAAAACCAAGGGCAAGGTATCATTAGTCTATCACAGAAACTGTAAGACTGCAGCCAACAATTATTTTCATTATCAATGCAGCTTAAAAAAACATCCTTGGTTATTATTGATTAACCTTTATTTTACAAAGTACTGTACCTGTGTACACATTTTCTTTCTTGCCACTTTGTATTCCACTAAAACTGAGAGGGAAATATGCTAGTTACTCCATTACAACTTGACAGATTAAATTTCTAGTTACTTTACAGATGAGGGATTTACATACAAAATGTATGGAGAGCTTATAAAACATGATATTTTGTTATAGGATAAAGAATCTCATAATATAGAGCTGTCCATGGTGCTGATTCTGAGAGCTATCCTGGATGCTCTCTCTCTCTCTCTCTCTCTCTCTCTCTCTCTGTCTCTTCCCCTCCCCAGTTCATATTTTAGTGGGAGGTTGCTATGTCTAATTATTGACTTCACTTGTTTGTCATTTAGCTATTTAACCAAGAGGTCTCATTGAGACAGTACTCTGTCCAGACAACTTTTTTCACATATACTACTGTATATGTGAAAACAAAACCTGAAAACAAACTTTGATGGGTAAAATCATCGGAGTTCTTTAAGGGGTCCAACATATCCAGATCTCTGCATGTGTATGTACCATTATTAATATGAAGGTTATCTAATTAAAGAAAAGAAATGTATAATAGAATACAAGTCAACCGTCATCAAAACGCTTGACGTTTCAAATTTCTCTAAGCATGCACTAGGCCTGTGGAGGATGGTGGGAGTAAGAAGTATATCACCGTGTCCTACATTACCAATGTAA